ATAGTAGCCTTAATTTCACCTAACTTAGTGTGTCAGTTGAATGTGCAGATGTGTTGGCATGTTTGTAGCATGTTTGTAGCAATATTTGTATTTGTACTACTTAATGACCTCGTAATTTAGCGTCAGGCAAAAAAAGCAGAAGATATATATTTAAAAGAAAATTACACAGAAGCTTCAACAACTAAATATAATATCATTTTTGCCAGCATTTATTGTGTGTAAACTCTTTACCTTTACTCACTTTCAGCTTTTCAAAGAAATCTGCAGGGACATTTTTCCACCTCCAAAGTTCAGTCCTAGAAGTTGGTTGCTTTTTCTGCTTCTCACAATCCAAATAATCCCAAACACATTCAGTGATGTTGAGGTCTGGACTCTGGGGTGGTCAGTCCATTGTTCAGCTTCTTTGTTTGATGTCTCCTTTTCTCAGTGAGGTTCTTCTTGACAGCTACACATCCTTTCAGACCCATAGCACTGAGATCTGAAGCAGCTTGATTTTCTCCTCTCTCTCAAAGATGAAAGCTTTAAGTGCTGTGGGGGGCAGTTTTGGTGGTCGACCAGGTCTTGCGGGTGGTCGTTAGGAGTATCATTTTCTCAGTATTTGTAAATCATCAGCTTCAGAAACTATTTTTTCCACTTATTTTCATTTGACTTTCCCCTTTCTTATAAAAGCGGATTATCTTGTATCTAATCTCCCCAGAAATATCTCCTGAATTACTTGTGCTTACATCTTCTGAGTGATTGTGACTGAACATTATGAATGATAAGTAAAAAATATGTGGGCTTGTCCAAGCTTTTGGTGGATACTATGGATAGATGATGACCAGATGATGGCTTTAGTGCAGTGGTCCTCAGTGCTTCATTAAAGGGACTTAGTGACATGCTGAACCCTCACCAGTGCTGAGGGCAGGAGATTCCCAAGAGAAATATGGCTGAGGGTCTTAGTACGCAGAAATGGAGGGTATTATTTATGCACAGCTTGCTGTGGGATAATTAATTGGAAACAGGTGTTGGTGCATGTGTAATGAGGGGAGAGGGTGGCAATCAAGTGCTGGAGCCTTCATAACGAGCAGGCTGACTGAAGCAGTGCGTGAAGTCACCCGCACAGTTGTCATTCATATTCCTTGTATAACATCTGTATTATCTGGCTAATAATGCACCAATGAATCAGTAAGGGACAAGACGACTGTGTGGTTCCGCTCTTATTCAGTCAGTCTGCTTAACTGTTTGTTTCCTGATTCTGGTCATGAAGTGTCTCATAATATATGAAGTGTTTTCACACCATAAAGGACGACTTAATTAGCTGATGAGTTGAGTCAGGTGTGTTGGAGTATATGGGTACACTAGGGTCCCCGTATAGTGTCCCCTCACATGTATATCAGCTACGTCACATGAGTAGCAGGATGGAGAGGAGGTGAAAGCGGGCAACAGATTTTTCTTTACTAGCTCACTTGCTTCTTTAACAATGATTATGTTTACAGTTTTATGCAATTTTCTTGCTTGGTTTTCCTCAAACAATGAAAAAAAATCCAAAGAGGTTAAAAAACACACATTTATGTGTCTAGATCCGTATTTTTTTTATTAAATGGTTTAATAAATATGTAACACAGCCTATATAAAATTATTGTACAATACCTCCTTCACATAAATGAATTTAAGTGCATCATCATAAAATCCATTTATGCTTTCTTACATTTAAAAATGTCATGTGGTGCAACCGTCCAACCATATGCAAATTCAGAAAACTATTTAAAAAAGTAATAGGGTCATTTAACTTCCATATAAATAGTATAGCATGATTTTCTGTTTGCTTAAAAATAGTGCCGCTTTAAAAATGTTCAACTTTTCAAAACAAAAATGACTTTTTCAAATGTCACGCAGGACAACCAAAACAGACTTTTATTCTGCAATGTTTTTAAGAAAGAGTGGGCGCGGTGTTGCACCATAAAGAGGACCTCCGAAGTGATCTTCATGGTGCGATGCCAAGGTCAGTAGCCCTTTCACAAATACTGAGAATTTTGAGTCTTGGCTAGGCTGGTTTGTCAAGTCAGGTGGTGCGACCCAAGTAAAACCATGAAAATGTATTATTATTATTATATTAATGTTCATATATTCGAAAAATAAATGAGTATAGAGGTTTATACATATATGGTGTCCAAATACAAAGACTAGCTTATACACATTTTCAGTAGTGGTAACTAACTTTTAAATGTAATATTTTTTTATGAATGTGTGGTTGCACCACTTGACATTTTGTGGGTGGTAAAAATTTATGATCCAATACAGTTCATTGAATAGATTCTTGCAGATACGCAAATGCACATCCAATCCTTTTTAATAAGTATTATGAAAGCCTTGACCTGAAAACAAACTAGAGAGTGAGTTCAGGGGCTGCCATAGATGCTTTGTGTAGCTCTCACAACCTTGTGTGGCCTTCAACACACTGTGAGCTGCGATCTCAGCACGACTGCTCTTAAAATTAAAGGCTCCTAAATGATTCTTGGCTCAGACATGCAGGTCAGGAAAAAGCTTAAATTGGTTTAGAAACTTTATATTATGCAGTTCTTTAAACTTCGAATATGTGCTTCACACTTGCACACACCATTTACTAAAGAACAATCCATCGAAGGGTTCTCTTGGGATCCAAAATAGGTTCTTATATGGCAGAGCCCTTTTTGGCAAGAGTGTAAAGTTCACCAGTGTCTCTCATGCTTATGGTTCTCCTCAGACATGATCAAACTTGAAGTGTTGCTCCAGTGTTTTGAGTACGTGGCCCACTTTCCCAGACTATCGTAATGTGAAGCTGCTAAAGAGATCAAGGTCTTATGCTTTCTTCATCTCTTGATGATGTTTCTGCTGTAATGCTTTTGGAAAACCCAGGCTAGTTTCTCAGAGCCCTGCAACCCCGAATGAACCTCAATCAGCTGAGTTCTCTGTGTGTGTCACTCCTTCCAACCTCCTTAGTTCAACAATGACCTTATTTGTTTAGCTGCATTCTGTAACAATCGGTGACCCACGCGCCACTTCAGTTCTGCGTGCGGCTTGGTTGTTGTTGTCGAGTAGCCCTTTTACTATGATGTCACTGTGTTATCATGTTGTCTGGGCAGTAAGACTCATGAGAGGCTGACAGAATCTTTTCACATGAGAGAGGGTGTAATAGGAGAGGTATTTGTTAGTCTGCAACCTCCAAGAAGAGTACTTGTGTCCGTGTGTCAATCTCATCCCTTAATTCACAGGATTAAATCAGTTCAGACTGGTCATTATAGAGTTATGTCACCCGACTGACCTGTTGCTGTTCTGCTCTTTTCACATTGCTCGCTAATGATTTAGTTGAGCGGCTCATATGAGTCTTATTACGCGTGTCAAACATATTCCACTTGCCTTCCCTCACTCAGTCTCCAAGAACGGGCCACGAGGTCAGCAGTTAGATTTGCGGCTTGTTTGTGCCTCAGGCTATATGGTGGGTGAGCCATTGGACTTTATACTGAATCATTAATGTCACTGAAATTGCAGGCAACTGCATTGATTACTGTGCCCGCATCAGCAAAACAGCCTGTTAGTTTTCAGACTACTGGAATTATGGGGATGATATTGGTATGAATTTATATGTTTTGTATTAGTACCGGACATTATTCTTCCTCCTCTGTTAATTATGTTACAAAATGTAAATATAGTCACCTCCAGGGTTATTGGCCCCCTCAAGAAACTGGTCAAAAACAATGATATAAAATAAACAACATGTATCGTTGTTGTCCAAAGAAAAACAAGTCTTCAAAATGGTAATTTTGCAAAAGGCAAAAACACTCTTTACTTCCCCTACAGTACATTTTACACCTCTAAAGAATATTTTTAAATCTTAATTGAAATACATAAGGTGATGTAGGGCCCCATCATTTTTTTCAAGTCCTGTTTTTTTCCTCACTTTAGTTTGATTCTGATTTTTTGTTTATTTTTTATTCCATTAACTGTATGAAAATGTAAAATAACATGAAGTAACAGCAAGAAAAGTTCTGGGTATAATAGTTCATTCATGATTCACACTCACTCACATGCTGCAGGCTAAAGATCCTCCACAAGGGGGCGATCATTTTTGTGTGCCTTGTAAAAGTGATAATGTAAAGAGATTTTATTCCAAGCTATTTTGGAACATTTCTGTTCATTCATCAGGAAAATATCACACAATGTAAAGGTCAGCCGCTGAGCTCAAATGATGTAGAAAAATCTAAATCGCCAGATTTGGAGATTTTTTCTTTTGTGGATCGCAACGATATGATTCAAATTTTCCTCAGATGTTTGGAGAAATCGCTCACTATTTATCTAATAGAAATCATTCCTACAATAATGTTTCATTTTAAGAGGAGTGTATTTTTTCAAAAACTTGTGTGGCAACATTATTGGCGCCCCTAAAGACTATGTTTAATAAAAACAACAAAATTTGTTAATCTGAAAAAAGGAACTGCATACAATGAAAAGTAACTAATACCTATTATCAAATGTGGTGGAAGATCAATGATGCTTTCGGGCTGTTTTGCAGTTGGTTGTCCAGGAAATGAATTTCCTTAAATACAAGAAGATTTTGGCCCAAAATCTGTCTGCCTCTGAAACTCTCTCACGGGTGGAGTCTACGGCATGATAATGACCCCAAACACACATCAAAATCCACACAGAAATGGTTGCGGGAATGCAGAAACAAAGTTTTGTACTGGCCTTCTCAGTCTCCATATTTGAAAATCTAAATGAAAACCTCTGATGTGTATTAAAGAGGACAGTCCATAAGCAAATATATATATATATATATATATATATATATATATATATATATATATAAATTGAGAATGTTCCCATTGCAAAAATATATTATGCAGACCACTGCTTTGTTACTACTTAATGTCCAGAGTAACTCAGGTACCAGTGTATTATTCTGGATTCTGGAGTGAAGAGCCCAAATTGCCTTGGATTCCCATTTATATCATTATTAACTGAAGATTCTTTCTTCTCCTCAGCTACACAGGTCATGTGGTGGGGAACGGCCTACAAGCCCAGAGGCATAACCCTGAGATCAAGGTCAGAGGCGTGGACCCAGTCCTGGTCGAGGCAAAAGAGAAGCTGGAGCAGTTTAATCAGGTAAAAACTGACCTCATACTTGAATGCCTCTGTCAAACAGGGGCCTAAAGCATCCCATGGCTTACACCAATACCACAGAGCACTATAACAAAGCCAGATGTGTTGGCCAGTAGGTTCATGACTTGATAAAAAAAACAATAGCCTATTGAAGACCTTCTTTCCAATAAATGGGCAGAGAAGCTGCAATAGCAGTTCAAGTGTAGCTTACTTCTAGTTGACCACTACAGTATATGGCCAAAAGTATGTGGACACATGACCATCACACCCATATGAGCTTGTTGAACATCCCATTTCAAAACTTTGGGCATTAATATGAAGTAACAGCCCCCACTGTTCTGGGAAAGCTTTCCACAAGATATTGGAGGGTGTCTATGGAAATGTTCCCATTTAGTCAAAAGAGCATTTGTGAGGTCAGACACTGATGTTGGAGAAAAAGGCTTGACTCACATTTGATGTTCTAGTTCACCTCAAAGGTGTTCAGTGGGACTGAGGTCTGGGCTCTGTGCAGGCCACTGGAGTTCCTCACCACCAAGCTCATCAAACCATGTCTTTATGGAGCTCGCTTTGTCGTGCTGGAACAGGAAAGGGCCTTCTCCAAACTGTTGCCACAAAGTTGAAAGGAAATAATTGTCTAAAATGTCTTTGTGTGCTGTAGCATTAACATTACCTTTTACTGGAGCTATTGGGCCCAATCCTTGAAAAACAGCCCCAGCCCATTATCCCTCTTCCACCAAACTTTACTGCTGACACTATGCATTCCGGTAGGTAGCGTTCTCCTGGCATCTACCAAACCCAGATTCATCCATCAGACTGCCAGATAGTGAAGTGTGATTCATCAATCCAGAGGACACATTTCAGTCCAGTGGTGACCTGCTTTACACCACTCCAGCTGATGCCGGGCATGCAGTTCAGCCATGAAAAGCCAATTCACGAAGCTCCAGATGCACAGTTCTTTTGCGGATGTTGCCTTTAGAGGCAGTTTGGAGCTCTGTAGTGAGTGAGTTTGTGTGGTCTGCTGCTTCGTAGCTGAACTAATGTTGCTCCTAGATGCTTCCATTTCACAATAATAGCACTCATAGTTGATCAGGGGTGAAATTTCACAAACTGACTTGTGGCAAAGTTGCCATCCCGTGACAGTGCCACATTTAAAGTCACTGAGTTCTGTAGTATGACCCTTTCTACTGCCATTGTTTGTCTATGGAGACTGCATGATTTTGTGCTTGATTTTATACACCCGTAAGCAATAGACATCGCTGAAACACCTAAACTCAATAATTAGGTGGGGTGTCCACATATTCTTTACATATAATGTAGTTTGTTTTATTTTCAGATAGTCTAATCATGTGATTTGAAAACTATTTTTCTTAACCCACCCTTGATGAAGTCAGTGACACAGTAAGTACCTGAACTCAAAACTAGGGGTGTGTCTAGGACTTTTATCGCAAACAGAAACAGTAAAAGCTTACATATAATCCAAACCAAAATTGGCTTATGCTTAAACATAATTGTCTCCTACACTGTTCGACCCAGTGTAGCCCTGCCTTTCAACAAAAGTATCCCTCCGGAGTCTACTGTAAAACTACTGGAACCTCCTCCCTCACTGAGAGGGCCTGGAGTGCGGCCTCAACCCAGGCCTTGTGCTCTGATCCTTCTCCCTGAGTGTACCTTTGGGAATGCACTAAAGAGAGCATGGTCTATCGATAGCAGGCCTTTGGCTCCAGCAGCTGGGTTTGGGAGGGGACGAGAGCCGTCGGCTTGGCTCCCTGAGACAATTTAGTAATGTTTTCATTGCTCCATTAAAACCAGACGCTCCGGTTCTATACTGCGACCCAAGTCTGCCTGTCCTGGCCCGGCCCAGTCATCTACTGTACAACTGCTGGCATTGCATCACCACTGGGCAAGAAACTGGGGAAGTCCAGAGGATTTGGGTGAGGGGTTGAGAAGAACATTACATTTCATCAACTATGTTTATGTTCACATCATGAGGCCCGTTTGAGAAAATATAGGTTTGAATTTCCCCAGTTATCCAGTTTACATGATATATTTTACATTCAATTGCAATTTAACCTTTGATATGCATAAAGTACTGTGAAAAAGTCAGAGACCACCCTTTCCAGCCAAAACGGCCATTAAGTACAAGAAAGTACTTTTTCAGGAGATATTTCTGAGGAGGTTAGACATAAGATAATCCACTTGTATAAGTCCACATCAGATAAACAGTACTTTCACTTCTGACAGACAAGGAAATCAAACTCTACTGTTGCTTCAGATCTGAAAAAATCCACAGGTGTTTCTGTCCATCCTTCCATTGTGAGAAGACAACACAGCGCTATGGGTCTGAAAGGATGTGTAGCCGTCAAGAGGAAAAAGGAGACGGACACATCAAACAAAGAAGCTGAACAATGGACTGACCACCCCAGAGTCCAGACCTCAGTATCACTGAATGCATTTGGAATTACTTTGATCTTGAGAAGCAGAAAGTGCAACCAACTTCTAAGACTGAACTTTGGAGGTGTGGAAAAATATCCCTGCAGATTTCTTTGGAAAACTGAAAGCAAGTCTCCTAAAAAGAATGAAAGCTGTAATATAAAGAGTGGAAACACTAAATCCTTAAAAAATGATATTATATTTAATGCCACTGTGGCTTATCGACTCATACCAGGGCCATACGCACTACGATGCCACTACCATGTTGCTGTTGTATGAAGAGAATGGTCCACTACCTAAATCAGGGGTCAAGAAACTGGCTAATGAGAAGCGACTTCAGCCTCGTAAGAAGTCAAATGTTGAGAGACATTTTATGAGAAGCTGTTCTACTTTTGGAAAAGTTTCCTGCTGGAGATGCGAGAAAAGCAGCTATAGCTGAGCTAAAGCTTAAAGCAGAGCAAAGTACGTCTGTGTTTTCATTTATATTATATTTTAGCCTATACTAGCACATCAGCACATACTGGGACATATTTACAGCCAATATGGTAAAATAGACACAAATTTTTGTGGCTCCCAAGGTGGTTTGATTTTTGTTGAAAGGACAAAATTCTTAACATTTGGGTTGCCAACCCCTGACCTAAATAATATCTGGGCAGTGCTGGTCCTATAATGGTCCCTTTTCATTGATGAAAAGTGTAGACAAGCACTGATAAACTGTGCAGCAACAGTCAGGCTATAGTCAGTAACTGCAAACCCACAAAGTGCACCTGTATGGTAGGTGTTTCTGATAAAAAGGCCAGTGAATGTAGGTACTAAATCAGTTTTAAAAAGTGGATTTGGTGTGATGTCTGTGGTTAGCTTCATTAAACACAAGCACACCAAACATACACACGCTAACTGCTAATTCTGTTATGTTAGCTAACAGATGCCTGTTAGCATAGCCCTGAGTGATTGAGGGGGGGGGCGGGGCCAGGACCATCCTACCTACCCAGAGAGAGAGCGAGGACCATTAGGCTATCTTGGACTCCCACCCAGGGATGACTGTGGCATTCCAATGATCTTGTGATGCTAATTGATAGATGGTTGCACCACTAGGGAGCCTCCCAACGTCACTGTTTTTCTAATATTTTGAAGATGAGTCGTATAAATGTTTGATTTTGCTCTAGTTCTGGTTCGGGTGGAGTGTTCTTTGGGTGTTTTCCCGCCCCCACCGATACCAGAGACATCATGGCCTCCATAGGCCTCACTACCCCTTCTCTGCATCTCTACACAGATGCGCTTACGTTTTTCTTCGCCGAAGTATAAATCAGCCCTCAGTTATGTCATCGTGACAGTGTTGGCAGTGCTGTAAAGTTCTGGGTTTTCGTCAAGCTGCTAAATACGACTTTGAATTCCGTTCTACAGAACAGCTTTGAACGTTGCACAAAGTCATGTGGATAACGCTCGTTGTGCCTGACAGCTGTTTGATGCTCTATTTTTCACATTCAAATATGCAGACAAAAAATGCAGTAATTGCCTTGAATGTGAGTTACGCAAAAGGGTGGTTCGAAAGAGCCTCGCCTTTCGCAGCTTGCACCAATATGTACTAAAGGTTTGTTGAGAAATTAGTGTTTCACTGCTTGTTCCCAGGGGTGAATCCTCTTAGACTGCGCAGGAAATTTACGCCCTGCGAGGACAGGTCTGCGCCGAAAGGCCGTTATTTTTCGCTTGAACTCCGCTTGTGGCAATGAGCAGAGAATATGATGTAACTGCACTTTTCACATAGAGTCAAGTTATTTATGAGAGCTCTTACCCAAGTGGCAAATTACGGAACCCAGGGCACGGTCACTGAGCTGCTCTTCTGTAGATTTACCAGAGGCCTTTGATATGATGAATTATTTGCTCTTGGCCAGACTGTGCGAAGATGGTCTTGACCAGCATTGATGGTTCACAAGTTCTCTCACGAATGATCTCTCGGATTTGTTACTGGTGACCCCTTTCACGGTCACTGCTGTGCGCTGCATTTGAATGTGCGCTGGCCGTCCCTGGCTATTGAAAGAATGCAGCATAGTTTGACTCCTTCTTATGGACCTCTTTCAAGAAATGAAAAATTTTCTATACATTTTATGTGTTTGTTTTAATGTTCCTTATATATCAATTGGTTGAAAGGGCCTGTATCTTTTTTCTTGCTTTGTATTTTTTTCCCCTGAGGTCCACTTATGATATCCGTGTAGTATCATGTACCAAAAATGTATAATAATTGATTTTACATCACTATTTCCTACCATATTTTATATATATATATATATACACTGATCAGGCATAACATTATGACCACCTCCTTGTTTCCACGCTCATTGTCCATTTTATCAGCTCCACTTACTATATAGGTGCACTTTGTAGTTCTACAGTTACAGACTGTAGTCCATCTGTTTCTCTGCATACTTTGTTAGCCCCCTTTTACCCTGTTCTTCAGTGGTCAGGACCCCCATGGACCCTCACAGAGCAGGCAATATTTGGGTGATGGATCATTCTCAGCACTGCAGTGACACTGACGTGGTGGTGGTGTGTTAGTGTGTGTTGTGCTGGTCTGA